AAAAAAAAAGAAAAATCACACATTCACTCAAACTATTTAGCTTTTCCATCTTTAGAGATGAATTGAAAACCCTTATCCATATAGATAAATGTCTTTTTATTTTCTGATGAAAACAGTCCCTCTTTAGACTTATTATTTTACAAAATTCTTTTGAAAGATGGTTAGATTTGATTGATGAATATCCATACCCTATTTTGTAATGACTCGGCATATCTTCAAATGAATACAAATAACTTCACTCATGTAATCATTTTTTGAATGATCTATATATTTGTTTACTTTTAGTCTTTCCACTCTGTCTCATGTAAAGTGGATTCTCCTAGGCTACACAGAATGCATCATAATAAGTTTGAAAGGTCCAAGGTATGTTGCCATGACAATGGCTTTGTTTGCATGGCCGAATATGTGATGTTCTAAACTTGGGGAGCACTAACTGCCTTTCCTTCATCACTCTCAATGCTATTGTGGGATGAGGATTCATTTATTCAAATATTTATTTGAAGAAAAAGAAAATTGTGTGTTGTGGCGCAGGATTCTAAAAAGAAGATAAAAATGGTTAAAGAATATACTGTGGGAATGATATACACACATAACAGGGTGACTGGGTCCTTTAATGAAAATGTTGCAGTGATGGTGATTTGGGGTTCAGAAGTGTTTGAATTAATGCCGACCCCCCCCCCCCCCTATGTCATGCCCCACCCCTCCCCCACCAATAAATTGGGAGGAAAAACTCCTCCAAACAAGTTTGTGCTTATAACAAACCTACTGTTCCAAACTACTTCAGCAAATACTGCAACCTAATTTGATAGGAGGTGCAATGGCTTAGTGGTAGAGCAGTAGTCTTGTAACCGGAAGGTCCCGGGTATAAAACCAAGTTGATGTGTTAGTGCCTTTTGGTAAGGCATTAATCCTCATGATCAAGTCCCTCGGAGTGGATTTAAAGCCGTCTGTTCACTGATTGCTCACTTACAAGGACATACACTTGCTTTCTTAGCAATTAGGTAAAACAAACAAACAAACAAAGAATTGATGTCAGCTTCTGTTTTCTGTAACAACTATCTGAACAGAGCATCTCTTGGAACTCTCTTTGACATTTCTGCCATGTTTGATTGTCTGTGCAGGTTGTTGCAACTTGATGTACATGTATACTATGTCCAACAAGACCCTTTTGACTCCTATGTCTATCCTCCTATGGACATGATGGAACCACCTGGCTGATGAGAAGCAGTCCGGAGATAAAGACGACAAATTGTGTTTTAGTCATTGTTCAGTGCTACCTGAAAAGATTTTGATTTGCTGTAGATTTTCCTGCAAATAATACCCCCCCCCCATTACTCTATCATTGAATATTAACCTCTAATGTTTTTGCACACATGTGATTTAACGCACATATTCAATTTTTTGACATATTAAAATCACTATTCACTGATTGTAAGAGTCTTTATGTTCATGTTAATGACATGCTCATCATTAAAAATAGATTTACATTATGTTTACATTTTAGAACAAACTATGTTAGCTTGAAGTTATGTTAAAAAATATGTCATTGTTATTATGTGGAATATTGCCTATCATTCATTCTGTTCCCCATGGTGGCAATAATGAATTATTGAAACATATTCATATTTTATGTCCATTTATGATTATAAAATTTTATGGTTTATGATAAAGTTCACAGCAGAAAGAATAAATTATTTCACTTATTAATAAGGTGCAATACACTGACATCACATACAGTATTTACATGTATGTATATACAGAATTAATATGGCTAATCGTTCATTTCCATTTTGTGATTCAAATGATAACTAGTAAATTAATATATGCCTGTTTATTTATATTTTTAATGTGCTTTTCCATTTTGTTGTTGTAGTCTTTCCATTCCTACCCAACTAAATCCGAATCCCTACGGTCCAATAAATCAGATTCCTCGTATAGGTTCAAAAGGTCAAAGGTATGTTACCATAGCAACAGCATTTCTTCTTGGCACTTGTGTGACGGTCTGGACTCCTAATTTAGAGATCACCCACTTTTCTTTCTTTAAGACTTTCAACCTTTTGACCTGTCATATGTCATTTGTGTTGAATAATATCAGAATGTTGAAAATACGTGTGTGCTGTGATTTCTACTTGTATATAACAATTCAATAAGATTATAAATATTAAAAAACACAAGTTTTACCGTATGTAATGCCCTGCTGGGGCACTAATGTCCTTTGGCAAGACATAAATCTACATCTGCCACTCTCCACCCAGGTGTTTAATGGGTACTGGTAGGAAGGAATTCCTTGAATGCTGTGAGCGCCGAAATCGGCAGCCTAGCAGAGCCGGGTCATATTCGGAGCGCCTTGAGCACCTTGCATGGTGTATATGTGCGCTATATAAATATCTGATATTATTATTATTATTAGTAGCAGTAAACGCCTCATAGATCTTGGGTGATATCCTGAGAATGTTATTGTCCTGACTTCAGTGACCATGTTTTGATTGGCTTCACAAATTTAAAATTGCAACAGTTCATCTGTGTCTCCACAGATGTGTTCTGCTTTATATGCAGCCACCTTTAATATGCATGGTCATTAATAAATGACACACCATAAGTTTATATTTATTATTTAGCACTTGAAATCATGTTACTGGAATCAAGGTGAACATTGTCACCTGGGTTCCAAACATCAAATCTACTTACACAATCACTTGTGAATACATGTACGTTGTAAACTTTGTGTTGGATGTTTGTGAAAATGAGTGTGCAAATCTGTTTTACAGGCACAGGTACCAATATGGTAACAACTAGTAAGAAGATTCAGTGTTGCTCAATTCATTATCTTGTTTCTCAACATTAATATTTCCTCACCTTTAATATGATGTCTTTTTCTCCCCCTTTTCTTTTCCATTGTTAACGATTTGATGTCACGGTCTAACCATTCTCCATTCAATTTTCAACATAACACCTGTTTTTCTTTCTCATTATGGTTAAACCTCTTATCCTTTGAAGATAATCTTTGCCAAGATGATCAAGTATAAACATCCAACATGATATCATGTATCATCCTCTGTAACTGACAAGAAAAATGTTTTATCTTTATGTATTATTTATGAGTTAATGCCCTTCTGGCTCTCAACTGAGGATACACTTATGTAATATATTGCATTGGGTATAATGGATACACATCCATCACGTTATTCATCTTTCGCAAAGAGTTTGTTGTTAAATGAAGTAATACTGATAATATATGTATCTTCTGAAATACAATACATAATTTTTATGTGTAAAGTCTGCACTCTTTCTATGTTTGTGTTTTGCAAAGTCTGTTTTATAAGTATTGTAGGTTTTAGATTATCGGTAGTAGAAATCTAACAATTTAATCATCATTTAACAGATGTTAAATCATTATTACAAAAATGTACATATTCACGTAATTAGATATGTCCATTTTGATTTCAGTGAGCTGCGTAGATTTATTGATAGCAATTACTATGTAAAGTAGCAAATGTTCATTTAAATTAAAGAAGAACAAACATATATATAATGCCTTCTGGTATATATATATTCATTGTCAGTAATATAAAATATAAAACTTATGAAGTCTTGTTTAAAATCTTTGTGCAATAAGGTTTTAATTAGTGTATTTTTTTCAGAGATAGTGTTGAATACTCTGGGAATATTAATATTCCTTACAAAATATTAATTTCAATAGCCAATGATCTACAGCAGATATGTGTAATATTGTTTGAATTTGAATTCTCCCATATCCCTTTCTGTTCTCACCCTCGGACAAAAATTTGGAAAAGAAACTTTGTTATGTGTTAATCATGAATATTTTCATTTAACAAAAGCTTTCTGAATCACTTGATTGTTAGTGCTTTGGTACAGAGCACTCATAAGCTATAAAGTCATGCTTCATTTCTCTCTCATGAGTATGACATTATACCATCCTTGTATTTAAGTGCCTGTATATACATATATGTGTATATTTCTTCTTTGTAATATACATTGTAATTTTTCTATAGGTGATTGGTTGCCACTAACACATTTTTATTTAAACAGTGCCATCAATAATACTAACATTTATTTACTGGAAATCATTTCATGCTTGCACCAAATTACGTATTTATCCATGACGTAAATAAGTTATGTCATACATGTGGTTTGAACTAATAACCTTTGCATTCCTATGGTGAAATAACTTTTTCATGTGATGGTGAAATAACTCTTTCATGTGATGCTGAAACTTGTGGATATTAACATAGAATGTGCTCTTGGTTAATATTGAAGTCTTGCTTACACATGATGCTGTATACTGCCTCAAATAAAACACCATGGCAAAATAATAACATTTTAAGTGTAAAATAATGGTGAATGGGGTGAAGGGAGTTGGTCCCTGCAATGTAGTCCCTTAAGCTTTACTTTGTTACTGAGGGAAACGTCATGCCCTATACAAAAAGTGAACGAGGCCGGCTGTGTATATACAGGCATTGGACTAGGTAAGGTTAGTCCAATGATTGGAAAAAAATCAGTTGCCCGTTACCGGGGTAATACTCATATTTCTGGGCACTTGTTCATTACAGATGAAGTTTAGGGACAGTTAGAGGCAGTTTAGCAGAGCATGTGTAAACAAGGTCAAAAGCCGCTATTAAAATGCTGATCTTGAAGTTGTATGGCTAACTCAAAATATAAATGGAAAGACTATTGATATATTAATATCCATCGCTAAAGTGAGTTTTGGCATTGAAAATATGAATAACACTGCTTTTACCAATAACCGCAAAAGTATGTATGCTGCTTCACATTGCTTGCTCATACACAAATACAATGCCTTTTTATTGTTTGAGGAATTAATGGCAGAGCATGGTTTTTGATTGCCTGCATCATCAAGTCAATTTGTCACCACTCTTGAAAGAAGGGTAATCCTTTAGGTGCTTGGTCTTATCATTGCACAATACTCATGCTTTTGTTTGTTTTGTTTTTCCCTTCCAATCTCATCATTTTCCGCACAGGCAAGGCACAGTTTCATGAGGAAGATCCCTCAAGGCGCAGAGGCCTCCAACGTCCTGATCGGCGAGGTGGATTTCTTGTCGCGTCCAATCATCGCGTTCGTGCGTCTCCAGTCGGCGGTATCCCTCGGTGATCTGACGGAGGTCCCCATCCCGACGAGGTTCCTCTTCATCCTCCTGGGCCCCCAGTCTGGGGAGACCAAGCGGTACCATGAGATCGGCAGATGCGTCGCAACGCTCATGTCAGATAAGGTATCAATTCACTCGTCAATTGAAATTGAAAATGCATTAAACCTTAAATTCAGGCGAAAAGACTGCTTTTCTGTAAGGCTGTGTGCAATAACATAGACCAAGCCCCCGTCTTACAAAGAGTTACGATTGATCCAAATCAATCACAAGTCCTCCAATCAATTGCAAGTTTGCAGTCTCCTATCTCTTATGCACATAGTTGGGATTTATATCAATCACAAATAGGTTGCAATCAATATCAACTCTTTGTAAGACGGGACCCAAGTGTACCTTGAGATTGAGAGATGTGTTACTACATGCTTGTCAGGCAAGGTATCAATCCACTTTCCATTGGTCTTGTGAGGCATACTTCTATGTGTTGTCAAGATGTATATTGTTGTTGGAGCTATAGAGATAAAGCGCGTTGCAGTATGAACATGCAGAAGATGGAATCCCTAGTTCTTGATTCCCTATTTCTGGCAATCTTGACATTTGAAGATGGCTCATCATATTTTCTCTTTGGAAATGTTAAAGTTTGCTCTTACTTTTCCAATCTTCTGTACTTACTTTAACAAAAATTCACCTTCAGACACTGGTTGTAGATTTACAAGTTTTCTTCTTTCAATATTGTTTGTTTGTTTGTTGTTGCGTTTTTATTGGGGGTGGGGGGGGGGGTGCTTGAATACAAAAAGTGTGAATGGAACAATACATAGCACAGTCACGCATAAAACCTTGATATAAAAACCTTGGTCCACCCATGTCAGGCTTTGATTGAAGAGGGGTGAAGGAGCCCCATGGCATGATGCATTAACACATTGTTCCTTTGTTTTGGCTTATCCGTCTGTCTAGGTTTTCCACGATGTTGCTTACAAGGCCAAAAGTACTAAGGATCTTCTCGCAGGCATTGATGAGTTCATCGACTCTGTTACAGTTCTTCCACCCGGTAAGTCAGCCCCAAAACTCTGGAATAACTTACCATTGGAAGTCAGGAAATCACCATCTCTGAATATCTTTAAATTAAAACTGAAAGAACATCTTTTCAATTAACCGTAAATTTAAGCATATCAGGAGCTCTTGTAGCGAAGTAGAATATATACTTAATGTTGGATAGTTTATGCGCTCTATAAATGTATTATTATTATTAAGTCGACTATAGATCCCATAGTGTTGCCATGCCAACGGACCGTCATATGAAAGTCACATTTGGGGTGTTGCCCTCATGTATCCTAGTAACAACAACATGATAGTGAAGAGTAGTTTTTTCTGATTTTCTTATATTTTTAAGGTCTTCCATCCTTGGTGATATTGTTGTTTTTGTTTTAATATTAATGATGATGATGATGGAAATGAGAAAGAAAACCAGTACTTGAACATAAGTGTATAATAATTTTGTAACTCCCTGTATGCTTTACAACTTCCATGATGAATTGCATGAATTATAAAATGCAAACATTCCAAGTCAAATTGGTAAAATGTACCCCAAAAAAAATTCATAAAAAGAGAAAAAGAATAGATTTTTATATAGAAAATTGAATTATCAATCATTGCTTGAGCACATGTCTGTCAACCACCAATCTCTATCAAGCTGTGTATATATCCCTTTCTTGCTTTTTGCAACTTTTTACAATTTCCAACTCCATCATTAACTCCCTTTCATTAGGTGCATGGGATCCCAACATCAGAATCGAGCCCCCCAAGGTAGTGCCCGATCAGGCCAAGAGATTGTCCCACTTCCAGACTCCCAACGGCCACGCAGAAGGGATAGATGAAGAAGACGGAGGAGGAGGAGGAGGAGGAGGGCATAATGGAGAGCATGAAGGACTCGAGAGAACTGGAAAGTAAGTTTTGGAACAATTGCATACCAAGTTGCTTTGTACTTATCATTTTTTGATGATTCTAAAACCTCACTCTGTATACTAGTTCTCGTGCAGTACATACATGATGAATCGACCCTCCCAATAACTTCTAGGCAGTTTCATTCACAAGGTAATTACTAAGCCCGAGTCCGTCCAGTCGGTCACACCGTATCCCGACCGTCGCCCTCTGGTCCCGGTTTCGTTTTTTGGGAACCGATGCTCCAATAAAAATAATGAAATATAGGACTGAATCGACAACTTGCCTAGTTTTGTCGAGCAGTTTAGCTCTCCGCAAACAGATACAAACTGAACATAGATGAATGCTTGGTTTTCATTTGCCCCGGGCGCCGTACGATTAATTGGTCTACAATTTTTCGGGCCCCTTGTAGACTAATCGCAGGCCAAATGTAAATTAGGCATTATATGTGTAACTCTGTATGTATGCTGAAGATATGCGATATTTATAGAGGCAAGTGGCAGTTCCTGCTAGCTGATATCGGGACACCATTTATAAATGCCCTGACATCACCATATTCCTTCTGTATGTTCCTGTTTGTAGGATATTTGGTGGTCTGATACAGGACTGCAAGCGTCGCTTCCCATTCTACTTGAGTGACTTCAAGGATGCCTTTCACCTGCAGTGTCTGGCTTCGTTCATCTTCATGTACTTTGCTTGTATCACCCCCGTCATTACGTTTGGAGGACTGCTAGGAGAGGCAACAGAAAACAGAATGGTACGTACTTAAAAAAAAAAAGGGAAGACTGAAAATGAAAGAAATATGTTACCGTAAATCTTTAAAACCTGAAGTCACTAGAAGCGACATAAGTGACAGTATTCGTAATACCTTTCATCGTGTTCGATTTTCGTTGAAAAATCTAGTCAAAACAGTGTAGTTCTACAAGTAATGTTTATTATTTACTACGATCTTCGTTAATGGTTGTTTTCTGTCAGAAATAACTTTCCAGATGTAAATGTACTATGACATCATAATTTGAGAGAGAACCCAAATAAAAGGGTACGATCCACATGTGCATTGTATGTGATACAGTGAAACCTGTCTATAAAGACCTCCAAGGGAGACAAGAAAAGTGGTCTTTATAGGCAGGTGGTCTTTTTGTATAGGTTCCTTAAGTACATGTTTCAATGAGAAAACATTTTCAAGGAAAACATAAATTGTGGTCTTTGTAGACAGGTGGTCTTTCTATACAGGTGGTCACTAAAGCAGGTTTGACTGTATAATATAACTCAAACCCAAACTTTCTCCCCACCCTAATCCCCCATTCTTCAAACTTTCTAATGTCCTTTGGCAAGACATTACTCTACATTTGCCACACTCAACCCAGGTGAGGTAAATGGGTAGGATTATTATTATTATTATTATCTTCTTCCATGTATCTTGTGAACAGAGTGCGTTAGAGGGTCTACTTGGGGCTTCCATCTGTGGTGTGGCATTTCATCTGTTCTCGGGTCAACCTCTCACCATCTTAGGTTCAACGGGTCCTATTCTAGTCTATGAGAAGATCTTGTTCGGCTTCTGCAAGTAAGTTTTCTCCCATCTCTCCTAGGTCAATAATGTATATTATGATCTAGACTTGATACCAATTAAAGAGATTCACTAACAAGCTTCACAGGTATGTTTTTTTCTTGAAAAAAAAGGTGAAACTACCTTCTCTTGGTCCAGATAGAGAGTCTATTTCTTTGATAGGATTTGCTACCTGTTGCAGGGGGATCTGTGGTACTCCAAGGACTGAGAATACAATTTTTTTCAATTTAAAATGGACATTACACCTTAGAACATTGATAAAATGAATTTGTTATTTAGTAACAATAAAAATATGTTCTTCAAATTGTCTCAATAAAAATCTGAATTGATATACTTAATATCACTGGAAGAATGCATGATTTATCAAGCTGATTTCCAAATGACCTCAGTCACTACTAATATTCCTATATACTTGATTACAGGAGCCATCTGTTTACCTTAGCCAACGGGTTAAGACCTCTAATTTTTGTTTTCTTTCAGGACTCAAGAATTGGACTACCTATCGTTTCGTTTCTGGATCGGTCTGTGGACGATGGTATTTTGTGTAATCCTGGTTGCTACGGATGCCAGTTCTTTTGTGAAGTACTTCACCCGCTTCATCGAAGAGAGCTTCTCAAGTCTCATCTCCTTCATCTTTATCTATGAGTCTGTTCATAAACTGATGAAGATCTACAAAGAATATCCAGTAGCAAGGTAATATAACCTCATGCTAGGTAATATAACTTCAAAATATATTTAATGATTTAAAAAAAATGGTTTAATTGCTTATTAGGAACTCTGGTTGATGCATTGGCAAATTCAGAAACTGGTCAAGAGTACTAACGGACGTGACTGTAATAAATGGTTGATGGTGCATTTTGGTGGGGTATTCTAAAGTTAAGCCGCTTATTTGAAACTTTTCAATTCTTTGTCGCTTCAGTAATATTACTCTGTTAATGAATGTTGCCTCGGAAAAGAATACCGGTAGTAAAAACAATTTTCAGTGAAAAGTCTGCATAGTATAGTAAACAATGAGCTTAACATGACCTTTCGCACCGGTAGTGCTTTTTGGGAAATGCGTATTTATAAATACGTTGTGTCTGATTGGACAGTGGGTTTCTTGCTTTGTCTCTGGCCAGCTCTGATATGCTCCATTGCATTTTTTCAGGGCCAACTAACCCCGTACTATAGGTGGGGCTAGCCCACTTTGGTAAATTTGTGTCTGAACAGCAAGTTGGCTAGGCTTAACCCGCACTGTAGGTGGGGCTAAGACCCCCTATAGCCCCACCTATAGTCCGGGGCTAATCAAAATTTTCCAAGTGTGAAAAGCATATTAGGGTTTTTTATGCTCATGTTGTCTTAAATACAGTTAAATGTGACTTTGTGTCATAGCAAAGATAAAAGAAAAAGATAAAAAATCTTTTATTTTTTTCAATATTAATGTGAAGTATTTTCAAGAACACAAAACTGTTCAACCCTATTCCTGTATATGCATGAAATGGCAAATGAATAACAAAATGGGATGAAATATCTAACCCTGTGCATTATTTTTCCAATCTAATCACGATACCCTAGATATGCAAACGATAACACGACGTATGAATGCATGTGCCAGACGGCGACAGGCCTGTTTGAGTACGACGAAAAAGACTTCTACACGGAATCGAAAATAGACTGTGATAGCCTGAACGGTACGCTGGTGGGTAACTGGTGCGGGAAGCATGTCCCGCAGTCTGATATCTTCTTCATGTCACTCATCCTCATGCTGGGAACGTTCACCATCGCATATAGCCTCAAGGAATTCAAAACCACAGGGTACTTCCCAACCATTGTGAGTATCAACATCCAATGAGAGATCTGGGCCCCATCGCACAAAACTTACCATTGATGGTAACTTTGCCATCAACTACCATGGTAAGAGGGCTCAACAGCCAATCAAAATCAAGGTTTCCATGGTAGTTACCATTGATGGCAAAGTTACCGTCAATGGTAAGTTTTGTGTAGCATGGCCCTGGGCTTGTATTCATTTAATCTTACTACCGTACATCTCCCTGTATAAGACCCACCTGTGTATAAGACGCACCCCTTTTTGCAGACATGGCCGAGAAAGAAAAAAAAAGTTGAACAATTTAATTTAATTTTTTTAAATATGCTTTGTTTACTGTTTATGCCCCTCCACCTGGCACTGTGCCGGGCGATGCTCACCAGTTGTTATTGTAGGTAGGACAAACATCATGGTGTGTCCTACCTGACAACATGTAATATATGCAATTTGCATTCTGACTATTAAAATACAATTGTCTGTAAAATAATTTGTAACAAGGCACTTAAAGATGAAGTTGAGTTCTGGTTATGCGATTGCATTGTGAAACAAACGTTGTGGAATCGATCAGAAAAGGTTGATCATCTAGCATATACGTGTTGGTGTGTACTGCAAGGTTCTGGAATCATCAAAATGATCAGAAAGTTGGCCCAGTCTCGGTAAAGTTACAAGCACTTTACACAGAAAGATGTATACGGGACTACATGAACATGTGGCATAAAAATCCGTCCCGATTTTTATGATGTTACATGCCATATTTAGAATAATAAGGTATTTGAAGAGCCATGTTTTTCAGGGACCATTTTTTTTATATGATGTTCTTCTACACTTGCATAATACAATGATAATGCTCACAAATTATTTTTCACCTCTACCCAGAACTCAACCTTCTCTTTAACAAAGATTTGTGCATTAAATTTTATTACACTACTAAATAATAATAGTATAAACTTATAGAGCGCACACACCGTCCAGGGACGCTCATGGCGCTAGCTCAGCAACAGTTCTCTTTGATACAGGAAAAGTAAATAATTTTACAATTTTTTTTTTTTTTTTTTGCAATTTTTTTTTGTTATGACCCATTTCGGTGCTCAGCTCTGCCCGATGGGGCCCGGTGCCCTCCAGCTGCTCCGTTCACTGACAATTTAAGGGACTGTTGAGTATGAATAATGTATATTGATGAACGTTCGTACAGCCACCCTAACCTTCTCACATGTATTCTGTTCCTCTGTTTTCTTTGGCTTGATAGATAAGAACGACGGTGAGTGACTTTGCTGTTCTCATTGCTGTAGTGATCATGGTTGGAGTGGATAGACTGTTTGGTGTTGATACGCCTAAACTACTTGTCCCATCAGAATTCAAGGTAAGTTGATGCTTTACGTATAGCCTCAAGAGACTTTGGCATCACATAATAGTATATTGCTGTAAGACCACAATCTTTATGTTGATTCCTGACAAATTGCGGTTTTTGTTATAAGCTAGTGAAATCTTTGTTTCTGATTGGGTATCAGTGGATTTGTCACTGATTTTGGTTGTGTGTCATTGAAAAAAGGCTTTGTGAAACGGGTCCCTGGTGGTGATGAAATACATGCATCAGCATATGATTATTAATGTGCAAACAACTGTTAATAATCATTCATTAAAGTTTCATGTTTCTGAAATGGTTTGTTTGTTACCATTGCTTTCTTATGTAGGACTAGATGTGTTTGTCATTGTCCTCAGAATTATCATTACTGGTAGAGATATAAGTGAATTAATCACTGGACAACTCCATGGTAAAGGCCTGATAATTACACAATTTAAATTGGTTTCCCGATTTGTTTCTTCCCCAATTCCCCCCCCCCCCCCCCCCCCCCCCGATTTTACCCCAATTTTCCCAATTTTCCCCCAATTTTCTTACTCTAAAGGGGGGATGTTGTTAGATGACATTTTTTAGTGCTCACTATCAGCCGTGATGTTATGTTTTCATTTGATGTCCTTTTTGTTTCAATGTATTGTGGTATTGCAAACATATGTTGACACCAAGCGTTTTGTTTTAATTGATATTTGACCTGATCCATACTATAGTTAGGCTTGCAAATTATACAGTGAGCAAATATAAGGAAATATGGGATGTGGTCTGCTTAATATCTTGGGACTTTCCCTTCTATAACTTTCTTCTCATGGTAATTAATGGATATATAAATTGGATGATTTCATTCCCTCCTCTCCTAGCCCACGTCTGACTTGCGTAAGGGCTGGTTCATCCATCCTTTCAACGGTAACGGTTGGTGGACGGTGCTGGCTGCCATCATCCCGGCTCTCTTAGCAACCATCCTCGTCTTCATGGATCAACAGATCACTGCTGTCATCGTCAACAGGAAAGAAAACAAGTTCAAGGTCAGTCATCAAGATTAAAAGAGAACATTAGGTCTGTTTTCATCAGCTTGAGTTTGCCAAATACCCGCTATTCTCAGACTCTGGATATTATCCCGAAGCTCGAAATTGCTTCTTCACCAGACCGATACGCTCATCACAACCTACCTCTGATGGGCGCAAATTAGCCCACTATTTCCCAAATAATAAATAAATTTGGGATATTTTGGAAATGAGACCAAGATTTCTTGGGAAATTGTCCCGACCAGATAGCCCGCTAATTGCAACTGCAGGCTGATGAAGACGGGATAGTTAAAATGGTGGGTTATTTGGGAAACTTGAGCTGATAAGGACAGGCCTAATGATTGCTGGTTAAAGAGGTGGTTCAGTTCTGATAAAGGGAAAATACTTTGTGAGCCTTCTTACCCTTTTTTTGAAGAAGTGGAAGAATATCCTAGTAGCATGTTTTAAACACAACTAGAAATATTTCAAAACTTTAGACACTGTTTTAATGTGACATGTGTTTGCAGTCCAATATAGAAGTACACATGTATGTTTGCATTGCTTTATACTTATTATGATTTTCAGCAAGACTTATTAAATTTTTTATTGATAAATTAAATGATTCCAAAGCCTCAAAATACTTTCACTTTTGTTTCAACCATTCCCAATAAAGTCTTTTCGATAAATGATCTCTGCATTTTGAGATCTCTGAATTCCCTGAGGCATAATACAGGAAACGCCTGGGCCCGTCTTATAAAGAGTCAATATCAATCGCAACTTATTTGAGATTGATATCAATCGCAACTATGTACATAACAGATAGGAGACTGCAAACTTGCAATTAATTGGGATCAAATGCAACTCTTTATGAGACGGGGCTCTGGTTCTCTTAGCCAAACAGTTAGATGTTACTTTCCTAGTATCTAACAGCTGTTTTTATTCTCTAAACCGTTGCTTCGATGCAGAAAGGACTTGGTTACCATCTGGACCTGTTGGTTGTTGCCGTCATGTTGGGTATCTGTTCTATCATGGGGTTGCCATGGTTTGTTGCTGCCACTGTTCTCTCAATAAACCACGTCAACAGCCTGAGGGTCGAGTCGGAATGTAAAGCGCCGGGAGAGAGACCCAAGATTGTCGGTTGCAGGTCAGTTGTTGTGACTAAATATATGGTATATACATAAGGTAGTGTAAACTGTCCTTAAGCTCTCTATTGGTTACTTACTTCATGTACAATCTCGTGATTGGTTGTTATTGTTGACGGCCTCATCTGTTGACCAGTTCAAGAAATTACTCAAGTCACATCTATTCTGCTAGAAATTACTTTATTACCAGCCTACATATGCTTGACTGATCTCTTAGAAGTGTCTAACTTTTGTTTTTAAGTGGCCCAAACAATGTGGAGCCTATGTGCAGCGCTTTGCAACTGCAAGGAAAAGTTGCTACATGTATATCAAATATCTTTTGGATTGGATTGGATTGGATATTGTTCTATGGACTGCATGTCAGCCATTTTGAAGATGTAGTAACATATAGCAGTGCAGCTCAAGTCAACAATCATGTCAGACTGGTTTTGTCTCGTGTGAGTCTTACAACTGGTGGCAGCGGTGGGATCGAACCCACGCCATCGAAATGACTGGATGTTGTTTCTTTAAAAAAGAAAGGAATTTTACAGAAAGAAAACTTAGGGCAATATGTTAGCACGTCTAGAACGACATGTCTGGAACACAAAATGCATGATTGTGGAAGAAGAAAAAAAGTTTAATTTTTGTCGGAAGTAGAACCAAGCTTATAAATGCATGCTACCTAAACTTTGATTGTTTGAAGAAATGTTTTCTGCAGAATATTTTGTAAGAGCCATGTTTTGCTTTGTAATTTAATTTATGCTCCTTTCCAAAGACACAGATGTATCAGACACCCTAACAATGACTTGTTTCCGCCACCAAATCTTCATCTCTTCTAATTCAGTACCGGCATATGTTTTATTTGTTTTAACAGAGAGCAGAGAGTGACGGGTGTTATGGTCTTCGTCATGATAGGCTTGGCTACTCTCATGACTAAGATTTTATCTGTAAGTATGCTACAATGTAACACCCCCCCCCCCCCCCCCCCCCCCAGCTTGAGTTGGTAATCTGGCTTACCATAATATTATCAAATTTCCAACAATAGTTATTATAGTACTTTTACAATAGTTTGCTAGTCCCAAATAATATCACATTAAAAAAAGGCTAAATATGTTTTTGCTTAAAAATTGTACAGAAATATACAAAAAAAGATAAGAAGAGAATAAAGTCGGGTATTAACCAATAAATAGTTCTATTACTCATAGGCAAGTGAACCCTCACATAAATGTTTGGTTAGAAAAAAAAACAAGTTATCAAATCAAACATGTTATCAGCTTCTTTAATTTTTGCAAACAATGCTCACAGATCAATTTATTTAAACAACAAAAGTCCTCAAATATTAATGTTTATATAAGAAAACAAAATTCCATTACCATTGGACCTATCAAGTATTACACTTTTCGCTGGTGTTTTAGCTCCATTATGCTGTACATTTTACAATCTATTTCTTATATTCTCTCCTCTCTCAGTATGTACCAATGCCTGTTCTGTATGGAGTGTTTCTCTTCATGGGTATCGCATCACTGAAAGGTGTTCAGGTAATAATAATGACAATTTATTCTTGTATAGCACATAACACATGATATAAAGTCCCTACACGCTTCCAAAGAGCTTTGGAAATGATTACCCTAGCCTTGCCTCTGGCAGCCATTATCGGCGCACGGTGCATTTCATGGAATAATCCTACCAATACCCATTTACCTCACCTTGGTGGAGTGTGGCAAATGTAGATTGACGTCTTGCCAAAGGACGTTAGTGTTGTGGCAGGGAATTGTACCCCGTACCTTGTGGTTCATATTAGGATTATATTGTACTCCTGAAGACATCTGCATTATGAGAAAAAGCATATATAACTTGGAAGGTGAAAGTGGTATCGGCTTCTTGTTCATTGTAACACTTTCGCGCCCATGCTTTAATTTCCTTAACATTACACCTCTCCCATCTCCTTCATTCACCCCTGCAGTTTGTGGACCGTCTATCGCTGTTCTTCATGCCTCTCAAGTACCAACCAGACTACATCTATCTGCGTCACGTCGGCATCAAGAAGGTGTATCTCTTTACCTTCATACAGCTCATGTGTTTGGTTGTACTCTGGGTTATTAAGTCAACCGATGCTGCTATCGTCTTCCCCATCATGGTAAGTCATGGTGATTTAGAGCTTAAAGCCTGTCTGTACTAGTTTGGCGAGGAGGGATTAGACCACCCAGCATGGTCACTGACAGGTGGTTATCTCATCAACTCGGCTCTCAATTAATATAAGAAAAAGAGGACCATGGGGGACCAACGGGCACTGCTTAGGCATTGTTTTTTATATAGAGGGAGCAAGTAGTACAGTGGGGCTTTAAGGGAAATATGTGTGAGATGGATGATTATACTCCTTTTTTAGAGAAGTGGACTTATTTCTGTACACTCATTTGATAATAATAATAATACTACTAGTAGTAGGTTCTCATGTAACGCCTGTGACTGTCATACTTGACTGTCCTGTTGATAACCCGGCTTTAGCATGGCTGCTATTACAGAATTCCAGCATTTCAAGTGACCAAGTCCTACTGGGTACCTATTTTCTTCACCTGGTTGGAGAGTGGCAAATGTAGATGAAATGTCTTGCAAAAACTAGTGCGTGACAGGGATCCCCCTCGTACTTCATAGTCTGAGGACTTATCAACTAGACCGAAAAGCCTCAACATTTATAATGATTGAGAATTTTTGTCTAAGGTTTGATGCATACGAGCAGACATGGGAACATTTTTATTCCTCTTCAAGGAGGTAGCAGGAGGCATTATCCAACCGTCGGGTTGTCCGTCCGTCTGTACTTCCCGTTCTAGTGATCGCGTTATCTCAAGAACCGATTGATGGATTCCCGTCAAACTCCAATGTTTGAGTAGACTAATAAAAATGACTAATGACAATTATTAGAAGAGAACACAATTGGTAGGTTTGGTCCTAGACCACCTTTGAAATGTTGGAACATTGGATATTCTGAAATTAGATAATTAAAGAACATTGATATTGAGACTCCTAAAATGAAATAATGAATAAAACTAAATAAATGAATGACCATGACTAGCACTGTATTACCTTTCACTTCATGTTTGACCTTTGACCTATGTCAGGTGTTGGGTATGGTGGTTGTGAGGAAGCTAATGGACTACATGTTCACCAAACAAGAGGTGATGATGCTGGATGATGTCATGCCTGAGATGACCAAATAAAATAATAAATTACTATGACTAACACCTTTGACCTTTTGTTTGACCTTTGACCTATGTCAGGTGTTGGGTATGGTAGTGGTGAGGAAGCTCATGGACTACGTGTTCACCAAGCAAGAGGTGATGATGCTGGATGATGTCATGCCTGAGATGACCAAGAGAGCCAAGCATGACCGCAAGAAGAAGCAAGAGGAAGAGGTAGCAGCCTGTGAACAGGTGAGAAACAAAAGAAATTATAATAATGATAATGGGGTGGTGGAAATTGTATCGATGATGATGATGAAGATGGTGATGATAAGGCATTAACAAAAAAAAATGTTGTATTGCCCTTTGCGACCGACCCCAAAAAACTTAAAATCTACTGGTACTTTTTAAAAAAGTTTATGTTTTTATTTTTACAGTTTTTCAAAAAAAAAAATGTTTAAATGAATACAAAAATATGTATAAAAGCATTCAAAACTGAGAAATATCAGCCCAAAGAGGGAGGAAAAAGAAGAAAAAAAGTTTTTAAATATAAAAGATTTCTGATCGACCGACCCATGTTTTGGCACCTAAAGGGCAATACAACATCTTTTTTTAAAAGGCCTAATGGTAATGGAGATGATTATGTTTGCCAAGTTCCTATCATAAGAATGATAATAGCAGTTGGATGTATAAAACCCTTATCCCCCTGAGAATACAAAGCACTAAATAATTTTATTTCCCTGGCTGTTTGCGAGGTACAGTACCCTCAGGTGCTCAAGCATTCAAGGAATTTCTTTCTACCAGGTACCTGTTTACTTCATGAGGATGGAGAGTGGCAAATGTTGATTAATGTCTTGCCAAAAATGTTGGTGCTATGGCAGGGATTCAAACCCTGACAAAATGGTCGGTAATAGAGTACCTTATCTACTAGACCATGATGTACATATTCAAAGGAATGCGCAGTGGTTACCCCTGTCAAATTTGCTGCTGTGTGGTCCTTCGTTGAGGCTTGTGTTTATTGAGGGTTATTGTTCATGATTATATAAATAACAGTCTATTTTCATCACCCTGAGTAAATTATTACCTGAGCATAAGCCTGATATCCAACAACCCTCAGTATATCAAGCGGCCATCTCTTGACACAAGCTGACTTACGAGAGAGAGAGACATAGAGCCATAAAATGTATTGCCTATCCAGTCTGCTGTAAAATGAGTGTAGGCTCTCTCCTGTAGAGGGCGCTGTCATAAAAGACTTTCACAATGATTGAATTCCTTCTCACTTACTTTGTTACATTAGGTATGGAGAAGTTGCTTCCAATACCACATCATTTTATTTAGAGGTTTTTTTTTATATGTGACTTCATTTTATCTGGTAATGTGTGCCCCTTGTATCATTTCGTTTCTCTACCATTGAGAGCTGGTTCTTTCCAAATGATTTTACAAGAGTCTGTATTTACTTCTCTCTACTCTATATTACACCCGTCTTGAAAGTTTGTGTGCATGTTTGTGCAGTGATATTAGTAAACTTTTGAAGAACGTACATGTTTATGTTATATTATGTTAATGAATTTTGCTTTGTTTGTTTCTTTGTTTCAACTAGACAAACATTAATCATTGCTTTTGTAGAGTAGTACTGATCAATGTGTAATGATAACACTGCTTAATTTCATTTCGCATAATTGTCCATCTTAAATTATCATGGAGTCATCAGATTTGAGACTGAAAGAATGATGTATTTATCTATTTTGTTTTTGCTGTTATTTGTTTTATTCTTACCAAACAGGGCGTCATGGAAGACCACCGAATTGGTGATATGTGCCACCCTGTATAAATATCAGAAATAAATAAATAAATAAATAAATATTTTTTTCCTCCCGTGACAGTTTCAATTCCTCGCCAAATTAAAAAGATTGGGTTGCGGTATAAAGTGGAAGTATAAAAAGGTGACAGTATAGTGCATGTTCCCTGCCTGAGATTTAGTGAACCCTGAAAACAGTATCAAAAGACAATAAGGAATTTACTTCAATTTTCAAGAAGACAGCGGGCAATATCGCTTTAAGACCTTGTATTTGTATAGTTTTAATGATGTCTGACAGTAAACTACAATGGTCTTTGAATTCATTCTTAAATTGAATTGGTCAGTCCTGATAAAAAAACATTATTGAATTAAAGTATTGAATTATTGGCATGATTGGAAAATAGTTTACTTAGACTATTAAATGAACCAGGCTGTTTTGTATGCTGATAAGCCTATGGTAACGAGATAACCAGTAGTCAATGGATTGGAGCTATTTTTTTTTTTTTTTGTAATGAAGAAAAGGGATGGCTTTAATACAGAAATCTTCTTTGTCTAGGGTTGTTTATTGAGGATGAATGTGTTGATTTATTTTGATAGTTGGTTGATTTCTTCAACATCCAGAAATTTAGACCATCACCAAAAATGGTATTTTCAGTACCTCTGCGCAGTTTCCAAAGTGGCATTACGGGGTTAAGAATAAATAAAGAAATGGAGCCCCAAACAACGAATTTAGACCTTACACAAATGATGGTCTCAAGCATGTATATTGTGCATGCATAGCATGAGGAAGGTCTAACAACCTTTTTGTATGGTCTACTTGGGAATCAGAAAGGCACTCGCGTCTTTCTGGCACTCAACTGACAATGTCACATCTCTAACCCCTCAGGTTTGCACACAAAAAACTGATCTCTCAAATTCACTTTTAAAAAGACTTACTCATTGACCATCGTTTGCACATCTATTAACCATTCACTAATTATTGGGAGAACAAACATAGAAGCCAAATTAGAAAATATTTAATTCTAAAGGACATTTGTAATGTTTTTTTAAAAGAGTACGATGCACGATGTTCAGGAGAAATCACAAAATAAAATCCAAAAAAGAAAGAAATATGAAAAAGATAGGTGTTCCCTTTGAAAATTTGCAGACCAGGAGGGTTAGCTGACGATGAGAGCCTTTCTTTGCTCTTAAATTTTTGATATTGTAGGTAAAAACCAAAGTAATTTTGTTTATTAACAGGGAAGAAAACGTTCGGACACATTTCAACTTTTACAGCGTGCATCGGCCATGGCATCTCAGGAACAACCTAAAATGGTATTTGATGTGAATTATAAGGTAGCACGGATTAATTAGGATGACTAAACTTTTTATGACCCCAACCTTTTTTTTTTGTCCAGTGTTCTGCTTTTCCATTCCACTTACAAACTGTTTGTTAGAAGAAACAACCCACAAGAAAGAAGTTTTTGTAAAATCCAATTTATTTTAAAGTATAAGATTAATCTCCCATACCATAGATGATTAATTGGAATGCTATGTCATGACAATACAAATAATTCATTTTTCTTTTCTTAACCTTTTGATTACCGTAGTTAGAAATTACCTGATTTTTTACAGCTTACGCGAGCATTGATCAGGCTATAATAAACATGTAGAAGAAAATTCAACAAATTTTGGACAAGTCATCAATATAGGATGTTATGTGCTATCATTTTTTTTTTAAATTTATATGCATGATAATGATTTACACAAAATATTCTAACATTTTAACAAGTAAAGAGATTTAAGAATTAATTTATTCATTTTGGGTTTGAGGGTAGTACACCTCAATCCTCATAACACTTTACATCACCATTAAAAATAAAAGGCTTTATTTTTATTTTTTTTAATTGAATACTGGAGCATATCCTTACTTTCATGATTGCTTAATATGACTGTGTAATGGTCAGTGAAGCTACTTCTAGTGGCAAACCTAAATATTAATCAAGCTCCCAAGTTTCATAGTGTTAGGTAGAGTGAATGGTAGTAAGCATTGTATCACCAGAGGGGGTTAAAGAAAATATTGCATGCATGGGTGACAAATATTGCACATATCAAGAGGTTTCCTATTAAGTAGAGTAGTAAGTGAACTGTCAGTCATTCACCACAAGAGGGAGCTAGAGAGAATACTACATGCATGAGCTGTACAGTAATTGTCTGTCCATACACAAATCTTTCTTCTCTTATGCATGCTACTACTGTTGGAATTTGATCTAGATATTTAAAATGACTTGGGATGTTTAGAGACTGCAATTCATTCCAAGTGTGCATTTTTTTTGCTATTGTATGCAAACAGGCTAAAAATGGTTCAGCAATGAAAGAGAAACTGAAAGATGAAGAACCAGCTTATTCGCCGCCACCATCATCACCTAAACCTACAGAAAATCTAGAAGAAACTGAACCGGTACTGCTTGGAATGGAATGGTGCTAGTAATGCATGGGAAAGAAAAGGGTAGAGGGTAAAAGCAAGACCAGCATTAATTGATATGAATGGGACTACACACAATTAGGATGCTTGTTTGCTATGCAAGAATGATTTGAATGAACAAGGATGTGGTAATACTTCTCTTCAAAGAATAAGTGGCATGCACTATAGTTCACACAAAAGAAAAAGATGAATGAAAATAATACATTATCATTTTGAGGAATCGCACAACAGTTTCCCTATATTTAACAAAAGTAAGAGCCATGCCGTTGGCCTCTGCCACGTCAGTCTCGGTGCAATTGTCAATGAAAGCAAAAGATTCAAAAGGAAATTCATTGATAGTACATGTAGTAGTTTTTGAATTTCATTTTTAGATGAGAATGTGTAAACATCTACATGTCTCAGAGCAGGATGAAATAGAACGTTGCATGAATCAGAAATAGTCTTGGACATGTGAAATGAGAAAGGAATGGCTGACTTTGGCAAGATCTCTTTCAATATGGCTGTAATGAATGAGGGCATGATCATGGAAAGAATGCGCACATATTCTTTCACCCCCCCCCCCCTCCCCCTCCCCCTCCCATCTGATTTCACTTACCAGAGTGATGTGACTCAGGCTTAGCTATTTAATAGGAGCATTGTCTCGTTTTAATTTCTCTAGAGTTATGGTTATGAAGAATACCGGGACTCAGAGCTTTCAAAGGAAAGAATGAAATAATAAGAAAAGAGATAGAATCCTCATAAAAGGGAATGAAGTATTTGCATGTTTGAAGTCACCAAATAAAATCACTCATGGAATCGTAATTGTAGAATACCCTTTGAACTTTGATTGCGTTAATTATACCAGCCTGACAGCAAAGGGTTTACTTTTAATCACATAAAAATGTGGGAAATTTGATTCCTGAAAGTTTTTCCCATATGACCACAAAGTTTAGAAACTTGTCAAGTGGCTTGGACCACTTCTCGAGCTGGGTGCATGCATACATGTAGATCTCCAGTTTGAGTGATATGAGCATGCACAGAATTCTTGATTATTATTTTTTTTAATTAGCATGGTGATAAATTACTCTTTGGAATAAAACTATTTGATACTTTTTCCCCTTATTTTTAGGGAAAAAAATTACAGAGCCTTACAATAATTTGTATTTGTACTTAAAGTCTTTGCATGACTGAAATGGAGACAAAGATTCCCTTCAGAAGTGATGAACTCTTTCGATTTCAAAAGCAGTAAATTCAACATTAGCTTATAAGCATGGTTTTGATAGCATACTTGTCAGATGGGGCCATAATTTCAAGAGCAAGTTACAGAGGTAGTCAAATATTTTCACATTTTGACAAAGATGTGTGTTTAAAGAGATTTCATTGGAACACTGGTCTTTTGCTATTACTGATTATGTCATTCCTCCATACCTTCTAGATCATTCAAGATTGTTGTCCATCTTGGAGTGGCCTTCCAACTTATCCTCTACTGCACTAACCCAGTGTGGTAGCCACCCAAATCATGGCAATAAGCTAATCATTGTTTCATTATTTTGCAGATTGTAAATCTTCCAGGCCAAGTCTAGGTGTCTCTCTCTGGAGCTGATCTGACCCTCAACTGAATTAAGAATCTGTTCCATTACCCATGCAAAGAATGGTTTTAACCTAACAATTATCTTTATCTTACTTTTTCTTTCTTTCTTGAAGAAAGTTCCAGGCGATGCCCAAATGCCTCTCTCTGAAGCTCATCACCGGTTGAACGATGCATGCTACAGCAACAATCGTTTTGCAGTCAATAGGCCTGTCTTGATCAGCTCGAGATTGCCAAATAACCCGCTATTTTAACTATCCCGATCACAAATTATCCAGCTAATTTACATCTTCATCAGCCCCCAGTCGCAATTAGCGGGATATTTGGTCGAGATGATCATCCCAATATGACTTGGACCAGCTTGCAAAATATCCAGCTATTTTCCGGTGCGTCTTCACCAGCCCAAAGACTCGCACTTTGGACGAATGCTGAGCAAAATATCTTGAGCTAATTTCTCGAGCTCGAGTTTCGAGTTTTGAGGTTGAGTCTCGAGTTGATGAAGATGAAATTTGTAACTTTGGACTTATTTCCCAAATCAGAAATAGCGGGCTATTTGGCAATCTCGAGCTGATGAAGACATACCTATTGTCCCACAATATAAACACATTCTCATGCTAGATCATTCTCTTTCTTTTATTTGTAGATCAAGAACATTCCAGGCCGCGTCCAAGTACCCCTCTCAGATGGTAACATGCTGAGTATCCCCGTTGATAAGGTAGAGTTCCATCCAGAGGTTGCATGCATCAACATTCCTGAGGACATGGCCAAGACCGGTGTCTGGAAAGCACTGGCTAAGAATGCTGAGGGCGGTCAAGTCGTCCACAGAAAGCCACATGGAAAAGAGTAAGTGGGACACACATCTTTTGTTTGATCTCTATTGAGAAATTGAAAAAATGGAAGGGTTTGAACTCTTTCACTTTAAAGTAGGACTGCACTACGTGTAGCTACTTGCGCCCTCTATATAGCAAACAATGGCTAAGCGGTCCCCTTTTTCTTATGTTAATTGAGAGCTGATTTGATAAGATAACCACCTGTCACTGACCACGCAGGGAGGTCTAATCCCTCCTGGCCAAACTAGTGCAGATAGGCTTCAAGTTTCAATTAAATGCAAGTAATCATGAATGATGAATATAAATATTTTTTTAAACTGAATATTACACATTACAGGATCTAGTTAATAAGCATGTTGTATTTTCAACCTAATTAGTGTATAATTGGATGATTGGGTATTGTATTTGATACATCTCTGCTATTATCAGCAAAGTCTATATGTTGTCAATGCAGACTTGAATTTGGAAGTGTACAGTAAATTGCAACAGAGTGTTTAATCTGTGAAGCATACATTTACACACAAAAAAGAGAAAAAAACATAGAACTCTGCATTTGCCATGAGGTACTTGACCTCTGTTTAGTGTTACATTTAAAGACTAAGTGGCACTTTCTCCTCCTGCTACCTACAGGAAATCCAGTAGCGGAGGACGTCCTAATCTGGACCTACCCACAATCCCTGGCAGCCCTCGGGAATCGTCGTATCTCGAGACCCAACGAGGGAGCATCCAGGAGGTGCGCATCGAGGTCCCCGAGCAGTTCCGACGCACCCCGTCTCCACCCCCAACCCACATCGGTACTGATAACGAAACCTCTGTGTAAGTGCAAGAACGTCTCAACTCCATCGGTGCGATGCCGACCGACGCAGCAGTGTCTGGAGAGTGCGCAAGCAGAAGGCTTCAACTACAGTCTATATGATTTTGACTGACTGGTTAAAAATATTATTGTACTTTTTTTTCTTGTAGTGACATGAATATTCATGAAGTGGAATGAATATTCATCAAGATGACCGTATTATGGCAGGGAAGAAAGATGTGTGATCATGAGTTTTAGAAAAACTTACTTTGTCATCATTTTTGTGTTATTTTTAATTTGTAGAGAGAGGTGCGTTCAAACATACATACATGTATATTTTTTATTGATTGAAAAAATGCTGATATAACCTGTATTACCTAATGCTAGCAGCTTACTTGATTGCTGTCAAAAGCTACAGGACTTTGAAAGATGAGGAGCTTAACGGGACTTAATGCCGCAGGAGGACATCTGTTTTAACTTATACACAAACATCAGTGATGTTTAATTTGAAATTGTATTTGATGCCATTTATTAAAGATTGTGTGTGCGAGCCTGCTGCATGGTATTTATTCTGTGCGTGTGTTTATCCGATGAGAAAATGTAACATTAGGAAAGAGATTTGTACACATTGCACCGGAGAGTGCCTGTCTGGGATTAACCGCTTAACATCCTATCCAAAGGACATGTTCTCGTTGCGATGTGTACAAACTTCTCACAGTGAGAATGTGAAAATTAACTATGTGGGGGTGATAATGTGACTGCGAGAAAGTAGACTAGAAATCTACAATGAGTGTGTTACAGTTAAATGGGTGATTTATAGCTTTAAGGAGAAACCCAATTACTATATATTGACTCCCTCCATTCCATAGGCTTGTACATAAACTGGAGTGTGGTATCTAGCTCTATAATTCAAAGAGATTTTATCTGGCAGCAGGGATTATAATCACAGAGAGAAATATCAAGTTATTTGTCTGCCGAAGATTCTGTTTTTGTTTTGTTTCATGCAGACAGATTATTGGCAGATACTGAGAGACTTTGTACAAAGAAAATCATGGCTTTAATGATTCACTAGTAATCTGACTTAACGTATATGTAAATTGGTGATGCGTGATTGCATATAATCACAAATACCACTGTGTTATACTCACTTGTCCTTTTGATAAGGATATTTGAATATCACTTTCTTTTTAAATACTTTTCTGTATCCTTATCTTTACTCTTTAATTTCCCTGGCATATAAGCCAACATGTTTATCTAGACAGAAAGAATAGGCACAGAGGGGTTATGTAAAGAGTTCTATGTCAGTAGCATTTCTATGTGACTATAGACAAAGACACATGTCACGATATGTGAAGTGCCCTCTATTGAAACAGTGCAGTGGCCAGTTCACATCAGACCGAGTGAAAAAGCATCATTAATCTTACTGTATCAGAACATAAATCATATTGGGTGAAAGGTAGAAGCAAACTGTAGATTTTAAAAAACTGATTAAACTCTTGCCAATATCAAGACAATCCTTGGTATTATTAACCAAAATGAAATGTAAAATGTCCAGGATTGGGAAGAAAAATCATGCACAAAGCTCGTGATTTGTAAATATGCTAGAAACAAGGCAAGCTCTATCTTTTAGACTGGCAATAATAAGTATATTACCTCCATTTCAGTCGAATTTTTGTGTAAAAGTAAAGCCCTTCAAAGAATATGTTTTGATGGGATAAATAGGATAAATTATGACCTTGTTTGTAGACTCTAGTAGAGTAGACGATATTTCTCTTTTTCTCTTTTTTCCTCTTCTAAAAGTATATTTCATGAGATTTCAAGTGATGTTTGTAAATTAATATTGTAATAATGATTTGAGGAAGGAGATGGGTAAGATTCTTGTAAACTACATGTATTTAAGAGCACTTCCAAAACCATGTGAAGATTGTAAAGAGATATATTTTGTTCACCTTATATTATGCAACTTTCTACCACTTTGAATCTTTGAATGTGCTTGTCTTTGTTTTAGTGACATTTGATAGGTCTTGGGTGTAAATTGATATCGGTAGCCATTTTGTTTCATAGTACCGTAGACCTTTAAAAAAAGAACATTATGATGTGTGATGTCTATGAAGTCTGAAAATATTCAAGGGACCTCATGTAATCAGCAAAAGATAATGTATACGAGAGTATATTTCTAGCTGGATTGTTATAGTATTTGCAATAAAGACTTATCATGATTATGATAATGATTTATTGTTGTTAAATATCAGATATTTAAATTGATTCATTTCATTTATTTGATTTCTAAAACTGCCAACTTTGGATTGTAATCAATATGGGATACCGGTGAAGAAGTAATAAACCCAAAGTGATTGCGATTGGACATTCCTCTATTAATCATGATTAAAGGAGATTTTGGTCTTGTCGTCATACGGAGGATGTACATTTTATAAATACGTTTGAGTGTGTATTTGCTAACTAGTATATACATGTATACAAATAAACATTTGATGAAATAGAGTACACCCGTCATAAATAATATAGGACTTCATTCTTCTATTTACTTAAGTGTTATGTGCACAAATCCCTAATACAACTCATAGTGATCATTTGTAGTGGTATTAAGTTGTAAAAGTAGACTACGTATTCGTGTTTGTGTAAAAACTGTAAGCATATGTGAAACATATATGATCTTACGATGACACCTTGCTAGCAAAATATTGATGCATTTGATGTGAAGTAGTAGTCATTTGCTCCAAAATTGTAAATAAATTTTGATTTTAAAAACTAAACAAGTAATAATATATGATCAGGAATGTGTGGATGAATGATCTAGTTTGCGTCCAAGCTGGATATATGCTTTTTCTTTCTTCAAAACTCTACTTTAGTAAGTGAATGTATGAATCTTTATCTTGATACTCTCGTGGGAGACGAAATGCACGGCCTCATTGGACAGGCGGCCGTTATAGAGAGGTGGCCACTAATACAGGTTTGACTGTTTATTACCTGTGCTACATGTTAATGGTACATAATCAAAGAGAGAGATAAATTAAGTGCGTTGGAAGTCTGAATTGGGAAATGCCCTTTTGCATTTTACAGCTCCTACTTCACTTCATCATTAAATAAAAATGTTATCATATTTGCAGCATTTCATGTACAAATATCATACATACATACTGTTGTTTAAAATGAGAGATTTATATTGTAGATCTATTGCAGTAAATATTGCATAGTGTGAACAGATCCTCTAGCTACCTCCAGTCCTCCTATTAGACTAATGTGAACGACCCCTGTGTTTAATAATCACTATTTGTAAAGCGCTGTATCCATAATACTGGCGTTACATATAGCATTTAGTGTGAATGGATTACAGTCGGTAAACACCACAAGAATATTTCAATTCAATCATTCTGTTTTGTGGTGCATAACGTAAAACCAGTTTTAATAACCATCTGTATAGAAAGACCACCATTAGCATATCCCTTCAAAATTCATCTCTCATTGAAACTTGTACTAAAGGAACCTGTTCATAAAGACCACCTACCTATAAAGACTCATTTTCTTGTCTATTATGCATCCTGTATATATCGGTTTCAAGGTGTGAAGGTTTGAAGGTGTATATGGTCAAACCTGTCTATACAGGCCATGGCATGGAAAGATATATAGTAGTACAGTGACTGTTGACAGGTGGCCTTTCTAAACAGGTTGAATAAAACAATTCCTTCTCGAGGAAGACAGTATACATGTAGGGGGCCACTATAGACAGGTGACCTATAGGAGTGACCACTATATAAAGGTTGTGCCACCGAGACATGTTTAACTGTTTATACTCGATAGTCACACTTACCAATACTGCGTCATGTGTTGCCAAAGTGATATTTACTCAATATGGTTACTTATTTTTCATGATACTAGTATTGGTTGAAATTGCTTTGATTTGAGGTAACTGTGTTGTTGTTTTTTAGTACAAGACATGCTTTGTGTTACCTAGGTCCTTATGTACATAGAGACCAACATACCTATATCATGCAGTGAGAATTATCAATTGAAATAGACTGCCCCTCGGATATTATATCAGCAAGAATATACTTAAGATACTCGCAAGTTGAATGTTTAATTTGAAGCCTGTTTGACAATGATGATAACAATGATCTTTATTACTACATGTATGTTTATCTATTGTTGTGGATTTTCTTTGTTTGTATAATACATTAAGAAGTACCAAATTACATGTAAGTACCAATGAAGTGTGTGGTTTAGAGTCGTGGAAGAGGAGTCTAATGCTAGATGAATTCTTGAGAAGAAAAAAACAATTATACATTTTAATTCGAGCAGAAATATATTGAGATAATTGAGAGATGCTCGACATCAAAATGATGCATTAATGTCAAAACATTTTTGGAAGATACATGTAGTCTTCACCATTATGTTACCATAAAAACTGCAAGTTGATGTTTAGAAAACTTTAAAAAACAAAAAAACAAAACTATTTTGAAATGAAATACTTGTTTGATTTTTTTTCTTCTCAAAGGGAAATTAAATTAAAGGTAATGTATCTCATTACACAGTGACTTGCAAACATATTAAATTACAATGCATTTAACATTACAGTATTAGTTAGCCAAAGGCAAGGTATTTTGGGGATTTCCTCCTTTTATTTATTATTTATCTCGGACAACTAAAGATTTAAAATTTACAAGATTTTCATTTCCATGAAACTTCCACGTTTCGGAAAGTTCCAGTTCTTATTTTCAACTTTCCACACAACAATCAGACTCGCAATCTTGTTTTAATAGGCAGGGTTATTCGAATTATGGCTGAAGAATCTCAATTTACTTTCTCACACGGGCAAAAAGTTTTTTGGAGGATCAATTTATCTTTTAAAAATGCATCATGTTGGGTATTTGTATCCATTTTGATGCCCCCTCAAATTGACCCTATTTAAAAAACATACTATGAGAGTACCTGTAATATGAACTATTATTATGTAGGTTAAATTATTCATCAATACAATGCACTGTATTATTTAAATTATTGGTATGGGTGATACAGGCTAGAAAGAGGCCAGTGGACTCTCTTGTATATTATCTAAAAGATATCGATTTCTTGATGGAGTGCTTGTAAAAAATACTTCTATTGATTGTAATGAGAAAGATTAGCAATATTTGTATCATTAAGACATGAAGTGTGTTTATCCTATAACATTCTGTTTTCATCCTCCCTCTCTCTGTCTCTCTCCCTCTGCCTCTCTCTCTCTCTCTGCCTCTCTCACTCTCTCTATCTCACTCTCCCTCTCCATTTTTTCTTGATGTTTGATGTAATGGTTATTCTATGCACCAGCTTGTAATTGATGGTTCATGAAAATATGTCCTGAATTCATGCTACTTGTACTTTTAGGGAAGTAT